ATTTTGTATAATAGAACAAAATCATTTGTAAGCTTCAAAAACAATTAATCGCCAGTCTACTTGTTAGAAATCTATAATTTTTAAAAGTGAGAATTTAGCATTGTAAATTTTAGAGCTCACCTTTTTCTACTTTTTTTGTTTGACGAAGAAAATGCTAAATATTTTTGAGTAAAATTGTACCTTTATAGGTGCTTTGTTTAATGAAAACAAAAGTAGTTCATGTATTGTTGACATTAATTCTGAGCTCATGACAATGAGGTTATGGTATTTATTGTCTGTGTAAGTAGATGTATGCATAAACAGCTTCTATGCACCTAACTTAACTCCTTGGGAATTATTATTATGCACTACAGAAGTAAAAGAATTTTGAGTCACATACTATGCTTGTATTTGTTCTTTCCAATTATATTTCATAGAAACCTGTGAATCAAAAACAAAAATGAAGTTATTAACATCTTGACATAAACTTAATGACATTTAAGAAATATTTATTAACTTCATACAAAAAAAGGTAATTTAAAAAACAGTGGAAAACATCTACAAAATTCTTTGGAAAATCAAATTTATCATATTATTTTCTCTTTATCATCATTCTTGTGATTAAATTTTCATATTCCAAGGACTTGTATTCTTTAATTATTGTCAGATCTTGATATATCTATGAAAAGTATAGTAACATTTGTTTTTCACTGTGAAACTTCCTAGTAGCTCAGAGGTAAATCTGAAGGCTTATAACACTAAAAAGTCAGGTCTTGATACCCGTGATGGGCAAGGCACAGATAGCCTGTTATTTAGCTTTGCATTTAACAACAAACAAAAAGTCACATTGTGACCTTCCATCAATCAAAGATGTCCTTGTTCCAGTTCTCTTTCTACTGAGTGCATCTTTTGGATGAATTTCACACACATGAACTCTTGTTCCTATCTAAGTAGCCAGGTAAAAAAATTATTTCACAATGTTTAGGTCCATGGTTTGCTTACAGAACATTTTCCTTTTATAAAACATAGAGCAAATTTTTTCACATTTATAGTACTCCAAGTAGTGTATGTAATGTTCTATTTGCAACAATTGAAAATCACTTTTCCAAGAGCATTACAGATAGAACTTTAATATTTTGGACACCCCTACGTAGTGCACAGAATGTTGTATTTGCTCTGACTGAGAATCACTTCCAAAGATCTTTATACAGATCAAACTTTTTACAATTTCAGTACTCCAAATACAGTATGTTGTATTTACTCTGACTGAGAGTCACTTCCAAAGATCTTTATACAGATCAAACTTTTTACAATTTCAGTACTCCAAATACAGTATGTTGTATTTACTCTGACTGAGAGTCACTTCCAAAGATCTTCTTTATACAGATAAAACTTTTCATAATTTCAGTACTCCAGGTGATATGCAGAATGCTATATTTGCTCTGACCTAATTTTTTTTTCCAAAGAGGATATTTTTTAAATGCCAAAAAATAGTTGAAGAAATAAAAAAAATAACTCCTGAGAGATGAAACATTTCTCCCAACATTGTTCCTCTTTATAGATATTAAACAGTTGATGGGGTGTTCCACTCTGCCATGAGGAATTTTTATGAATAACTAATAATGGGTAATGCCTACCCAAAAGATTAGAAACCTTCAAAAAGACACAATGCAACCAATGAAGAACCTTAAATGGCTCACAAGTCACTTATTGGTTACCCCTGGTATAGATTAATGAACTTAATTTATTTCTTGTAGAAACAGTCAAAAACTAGTCCATCATTTTGCCATATCTTATTCCTCTTAACCTTACCATGCACCTAGAGACAGATAAAAGTACTTTGTTTAAGAACTGTGAAAAAATTCTAGGATTGAAACTTTTGTGTAGATGTTTATGTTACAGGTGTTGATTAAACTCCTTATGCCTGTAGTTTATAAATTGAGATTCTTACATGATGCATGGAAGCCACCAAATCTGAGTGTAATACATAACTATTGGTACAGTAAACAGAAGGGAAGACACCAAATCTGAGTGTAATACATAACTATTGGTACAGTAAACAGAAGGGAAGCCACCAAATCTGAGTGTAATACATAACTATTGGTACAGTAAACAGAAGGGAAGCCACCAAATCTGAGTGTAATACATAACTATTGGTACAGTAAACAGAAGGAATTATATTTTCTATTATTCAGGTCACTGAACTAAAAATGAATTGTAAGATCTTGAAAAACATGTTCACATAATTTTTAATTGTACACATTGGAGGTAAAAGAACTTATAAAATCCTTCATGGTGTTCAGTTAAAGTACTTTTTAACTTTTTTTTTATCACCTACAAAGAAATGGGCCTATAGAACCCTACTTTGAGATTAATAAACAAAGTGTCAACTCTTCAAGAATCGTTTCCAGTTTAAGAACACAATAAACCTTTGGAGAAACAACAGATGTAAATGTAAGTTCATCTAGACCCCTAATGGTGTAGTGTACACACTTCCAGTGTTTGTTGTATAAAATCCTTGATGTAGTTAGTGTACAGTACTTGAAGAACTCTGGTGGTGTACAGTAGAAGAAAGTGTGTCTACAAAACCATTAATTAATTAATTGTGTGTTCAGGTATAAAGTGAAGCACTGAGAATTTTTAGTGTTAAACAGTAGAAGAAAGTGTGTCTACAAAACCATTAATTAATTAATTGTGTGTTCAGGTATAAAGTGAAGCACTGAGAATTTTTAGTGTTAAACAGTAGAAGAAAGTGTGTCTATAAAACCATTAATTAATTAATTGTGTGTTCAGGTATAAAGTGAAGCACTGAGAATTCTTAGTGTTAAACAGTAGAAGAAAGTGTGTCAGTAGAACCACTGAATATGTTCACCTGTAATGTGAAAGAACTTTGATAACTTTTGTTGGTGATTAAATGAACTGCAATCGTGTATGTATAAAACTCTTGTTTAGGCACAGTTGAAGCCAATATACACATATCTGTAGAAAATTTATTTAATTCTATCCAGTCTAATAACTTAAAAAACAACAACACTATTTTACTCTGTAAAAGGTAAGTACCTTTTACAAGCCTCAGTTATGTTGAGTAAAAATATATTTCTAGAATTACTGGTTTTGTATAATAAAAGCTTTCCTTAACATCTTGGACTCCTTAAAGCTTACACTTTGAAGTGGAAGTATTGTTTAAAATTATTGATATGCACGACCTTAAAAAATTTGTATTTAATACTTGTATCATGACATTTACTGGAAAAGAAATTGCAAGAACCTGTTCTGAAAGCAGAGTCAAAATCTATTTCAAGTAATTGTGTAACTTTCTAAACCAACTTAATTATATCTTTTAGAAACCATAGGAATCAGCATTGCACAACTTAGTATAGGCAATGGAACATTTCACAATAAGTCACGTTTTCAAGTAAGACTTGAAACTTTCTCAACTGTATGTAACGGAAGATAACTCGAGAATATTCAACTGGCTGTTTTAATTATTTAATACTTGTATATTATCTGAATTGTATTTAGCATATAATAAATAGAACACATAAATAAATAGAAGATATCTAAAGAATATGAAGACAACACACCCATTTCGGTTGATAAAAATGTTGATGCAAGATTTATGGTTGGTTGATTAACTAATATAGTACGTTTATATATATATATAAAGTACCTGTAAATCCAGTTTTGTGAGGTTTAATTCTTTGTAACTAGTAAAGTTAGGAACTTCTCCATGGTGTTTAGGAAGATTTGCTTCTGATGTTAGTAATATGTTTAATGAAGCTATCTGTAGAAACTAGCTTTGGAATGAGAGCGTGGTTCAGTATATATATATATATATTTGACTGTCCCACCTGTGTACACATCATTTTAAGCCCGATCTCTGGTAGTTCTTTTGTACCTACCCTTGAATTTTATACGACTAATGATGCAGTGTTTGCTATTCTGGTCTTATATTACGAGCTTTTTAAAATTAGTTACTTTTGCATTCGGTCTAATTCCTCCATATGCTACTCCCCCCCCCCCATTCTATTCGTGCATTCGCAATTGTATTCGTACTTATCTAACCAACGTGCCGAATAAAAGGGGAAAATATTCAAACTGAAGAACAGTGATGGCTGTATCCTCTCGACATCTTGGAGAAGAACGACCCACAGCATAGGAGATGTAGGAATAGTTGAATGTAGACCAAGTAGTAGACATATTAAATCTAATAATCGTTATGTACGTGTTCATATACAAAGCCAAAACAAGTACAACAAAATAGAAAATGTTTATACTGTTCTATGCATACTCCTATTAAAAATACACCGTTTTAAGTTTTATTAACACTTTTACCGTCATTCAAAAATTTGGTGATCTCTTAAGTGTAAGGAATATGAACAGGGAAATTGTCTCATATAATTGAGGATACCGTGATATTGTTCAACACGAATTGTACAATCTCGCACTTGTTGGCCAATTTTCTAGGCGATAGCTATATACCTGGTCAAAGAAATCACTATGTAGCGAACTTCTCTGTTAGGCATTAAGGAAGGAAGTAGCAAATATTTTAACAATAGTTGTATCGTCACCGGCCCTGTTTATTTATTTATTTCTTCAGTTCTTTCAGGGCAGCTTTTGGGCCGTTCTTGGAAGCATTTACAAAGAAAATTAGTCCATCATGCGCGCGTGACATCACTGCTTCGGCTGGCGCACGCCCCATGCAGCCCGAGAGCAGTCCTAGCCAATCCCGGCTGAGATCTCTCGAATAACACGACATTTGCCACCAGAGCACGAGCGCCAATCTGCCGGCACGCCGAAGGTTTCGTTTAATACTGGAGTATCAATGGGCGAGTCTATTAATAATAGGGAGGGAAAGGAAGTATTGGGCGAGGCGAAGAACATAGAGAGAGGGAGCAAACCGGTTTAATCTTTGACCGTAAAACAGAACCTCTTACCATCGGAAAGACAGGCATCAGTTAGTCATGTTGAGCACAGGATACGAGCTAGCATGTGGAACTCCTTCTTCAAAGCTGCTTGTTTCTAGCCTGTTAAGAAAGCTGTTGCTTTCTGTTGACAAAGATTGTTGGTGATAAATTGCATGGTCTATTTACCACTTAAAAAAAAAGATAGATAAGAACGTTTTGATATTAATCTAGTGTAAATTAAAGGCCTTTTTATTTTCCAGATCCGTTATTGGTAGGCGAACAGACAAAACTGAACTATTGCAGAATGAAGAGGCTGAGCATGTGGTCATTGGGTGAAACGTTTCTTAACACGAAATACTGAAACAGCAGAGATTTTGTACGGTTTCATCTATGATAGTCGTTTGTCTGTAGCAAGCTAATTTAGAGACATCGAATCGACTAGCTAGTTAAGTTAGCCTATTTAGTGTTAATCAGTCCAACAACCAAGTACTCGTGATGAAAAATGTCCAAAGAAACTAAATACATTTTTAATTTTTCCTCGGTCGACTTGATGAACATAAAGCCTTAACAACATGGAAAGTCGACCGGACCTTTCACTTGAGCGATCCCGCCTTTTAGCCGGCGCGGGACTTCACGCTACCCATGGATTTTCCGTGGATGTTCAATCGCCGCACCCAACACCGCTCCGAGCGACGTTCCCCGATATGAACCGAGCGGGTGCCGCTACTGACCCAGCGTCTCTCTCCGCGTACCATAGCCGTTTTCTCCAGGCTTCTCTCCCCCTAGACAACAATGGTAAGTGTCTCAATAAAAATAATTATTTGACGCATTTTGATTGCATACTTACAATCTGTAAATGTATTAACGTATTTCAATTAATTTTTTGGACATCATTTATGTACTAAAAGCATTAAATAGTCTAATTTATTAAACATTTATACTTTGATTATTACTTACATGAACCACACACATACCATATGTTATGTAAAAATATTTGTAGCTTGTCTCTTATACGGTTATTATTGTTAGATAAAGAGTATTATGGTTGAAAATGTAATTTTATAAGAAACCATGTGCCGTTACAAACAGCCATGAGATATAGCAAGTCTGGAAGAGAGTTTGTGTTAAAGAAATAGAGAAATCAGTTTTTGAGTAGTTACTCAAGTTTTCGTTAAAAATAAATCAACAAATCCTTTGCTGGTACTCCTATTATGCTGTGATTAGATATGAACTATAACAACTTTCAATGTTTACACAACAGCAACAGTTATTAATAAACACCTCTTTTTTTTTAGTTGCACATATATGTAACAAAGAAATGTAATGTTTAAAAAAATTAGAAGCATCTATTTTATAAACATTTAATTGAAAAAAATAATTTATTCCATTTAATTTCTGAACACATAATTTTTTTTAATCACACAATCTTGTAAAATCTCACAATGGATTTAACTACTACTGTTTTGTGTTATGATAACTTTTATAAGCTGAGTATTTTAGTGAATACTATATAGAGAATATTAGGCTTATGCCATATAAAGTGCTTTGGGACTGTTTTGTATGAACAGTTTAAACTAAAGACAATGCAAATTTGGTTTATGTCACAACCTTTACGTAAAACTGTTGGTTGAATAAGGTACATCATAAACCTATTACTTGTGTACTAACTTGTATGTAGAATAAGTTTTTTATTCACCAACTCTTACTTAAAAAAAGTTTTAAAAAGCAGCTTTCAATAACACATGAATGGTGTAGAAAAGTCTGAAACAAAAGAGAAAATTAGGTTTTCAAGTAACATTATAAACAAAGAATGACAAATGTGAATGTACACACACAAACATTATCAATAGTATCCTCATGGAGAAAAATAAGTTTATTTACACCTGCATTTTATGGGGTGGGTAATTACATAACTTGAAATGCATGCTTACCTGCTTCAGATGGGGCCTCCTCCTATTCTTTGGGAATAATAATTGATTCAGCTGTTAACAAAAAGAAGTTTGAAGTTCACGTTTCAATACACATAGTCTCTGGAAATCTACTTCATGAAAAATGTTCCAGTTCTGCCTGGTTACTGGTTTGAATCATTTTATTTATTTTGTTCAGTGCATTTAGTTTTAAACTACCATAAATCTATGATATGTCATTATCAGTTGCATAGTAAGGATCACATTTATTTCCTTCAGACTGATTAACAAGTTTCAGTTAGGTTTTAAATGAAATAAAAATAATGTGAACATTCTAACAATAACTTCAGCTCTTTTGTTGACTGTTTGGAAGCCCTCTATTTTTCAGTTATGCAGATATTCATGTGCCTTTTATATGGAATACGAGATTGGGTTGTACCTGTATGAAGTGACTCCTTTTTATTACCCAGGAAAGTGGTAGCAGGAATTAAAATCTTGTTGTGAAAATAGTCCTAAGAGTTTTCTTATTTCTAACTTTTGCTAGAGATAGGACTTGCAACATACTATAGTTCTGAATGATGGGATGTTTTTTTTTTCATACAGTTCCTAGTCTTTTAAGTGTTGTCAAGGTGGAGTTACTAATTAGTACTATTTAAGGTTCCTTGTCTTTGGAGGCAGGTTTTTCTAGGCTGTGTATGATTCCAAGAACTACATAAGCCAGACTGACAATAAATAGTTTTATTGAAAGCTGACACCTATATTTACAAATAATTTAACTACATTTAAGCTTACTTTATTTCATACAATCTTGAAAAACTGCTTAGCTGTTTTCTAATACATCCTAAGACATAATTTGAAAACTTGTTCCTATCCCTGTTATTGAACTATTGTTTAGTTAACCTATTACCTACCCAAAATTAAGTTAAAATTAACAAGAATTGCTAGTCTTCACCTTGTGCTGGTATATTAAAACAACTTTGTTTGTGTGAGACAGTTACAAACCCTGTAAAATTATTTAAAACTAAATTACTCAGAACTTCTCCAACTTAAACCACCAAGTTTAGAAACTGTTATTGTCTGATATTTTCCCCAAGGCACATTAATAACACTTAAGATTTCAGTGTACATACAGAACAAGATACTGATAGAAGATTCTTATGGTAAATCAGTAAGAACATAAACAGTTCTCTTTTTTGAGGGGGTAAAATTGCTAAAAGATTAGGTGACAGTATTTATAGAATGACATTGAAAGTACAGTACATAATTGAGTTATAAATGGTGAACCAGTACTATTCGTGGGCAAGAACAAAAAGTAATCAAATAGGTTAAGATTACTTTTACTTAAACATAAAATTATGAAAGATTATGTATGTAAAGTATAAATGAATCAAATATGTAATTGTAGGAAATATATAAATTATTAATACATATAATTACCAAAAATAATCATAACATCTTTAAAATATGTAGTTTTTATGGCAAAAAAAACGTCTGCTAGTGATCAATGACTAGAACTGAATATTGAAATTTATTTTACATTCATAATAGTAGTGTCATTTGAGAAAATAATGTAACAGATCCATTACAGTGTTTTTATATCACTTATTCTTTATATTTAGTTGTAACAGATCCTTTGCAGTGTTTTTATATCACTTATTCTTTATATTTAGTTGTAACAGATCCATTACAGTGTTTTTATATCACTGATTCTTTATATTTAGTTGTAACAGATCCTTTACAGTGTTTTTATAACATTAATTCATTATGTTTTAGTTGTAACAGATCCTTTGCAGTGTTTTTATAATACTGATTCATTGTTTTAGTTGTAACAGATCCTTTGCAGTGTTTCTTTAACACTGATTCATTGTTTTAGTTGTAACAGATCCTTTGCAGTGTTTCTTTAACACTGATTTAGGGTTTTCTTGAAACAGACTCTCTAGTTATGATAATCACATTCATTATATTAGTTGTAACATATCTGTTACAGTGTGTTTATATCACTGATTCATCATGTTTGTTTAAAACAGATCCTTTACAGTGTGTTTATATCACTGATTCATCACGTTTGTTTAAAACAGATCCTTTACAGTGTGTTTATATCACTGATTCATTATGTTTGGTTGAAACAGATCCTTTACAGTGTGTTTATATCACTGATTCATCATGTTTGTTTAAAACAGATCCTTTACAGTGTGTTTATATCACTGATTCATTATGTTTGGTTGAAACAGATCCTTTACAGTGTGTTTATATCACTGATTCATTATGTTTGGTTGAAACAGATCCTTTACAGTGTGTTTATATCACTGATTCATTATGTTGGGTTGAAACAGATTCTTTACAGTGTGTTTTTATCACTGATTCATTATGTTTGATTAAAACAGATCCCTTACATTGTGTTTATATCACTGATTCATTATGTTTGGTTGAAACAGATTCTTTTCAGTGTTTTTTTATCACTGATTCATTATGTTTGATTAAAACAGATCCTTTAGTGTGTTTATATCACTGATTCGTCAGTTTTGTCGGGTTTTTGTATCACAGACTCATTCAGTTTTAACTGATCCCTTACCTATTTTTATATTACAAATACATTACTTGACTTGTATATTACATTATTTCATTCCATACATCCACTCTTTTACTTTTAAAACATGCAATGTTACAATTAGGTGCATAATATTTTCCTCATTTCTAATCATGTTCCAAGTAAGCCTAAAACAAAAAATAATGAACATAATTTATTTTTTTTACATATTTTGAGCAGAAAGGTGGTATAAAACTGCAACAGTTATTTGAAGATTAGAACGAACTGTGAATTTTACTTGTTTACTACAGTGTTTTAATACGAAAATAGAACAACACTTATAGCCATGCTTCCTGAAGTTTCATAAAAACACCACTAGCGGAAACATTTATCAGCTTTACAACGAAATCATCAAACAGCCTCGTCCTCGAGTTGGAAGCAGACTCGTTAACGCAAGCGACTGCCGGTGACGCCGTCCGTTGTGCGTGCATTTGTCGTGGCTGATTGCGGCTGAAATAGTGGTTATCGTGTTTATGCACTGCACATTACAATCTAAGAAACACCAGTTTTTACAGTGAACGCAGTTTCTTGAACCTTTCGTGTTTGTTTACTATTAAATGCAGTGCTGTTAAGAGTATGATAACAGATATTTTACTGTGAACTTCAAACGTGTTAGGAAATATTTCGCACATTGATGAAATTCCCAATATATTGTAACACAATACAAAAGTGACCAAGTTATTCGAAATATCTGGTTTTGTTTTTAATTAATATCAGTATGCGAAAACATTATTATATAACGACTATGATCTTTTGAATTATTATTGATATTTATAGTTTTAGAGTAATTAAAAGTTCAAATTGAACGGACTCGTATTAGCCCTAAATGTTTAGATATGTGCAGCTCCGAATCATATCTTTGGCTACGGTGACCATATATATTATTTTTACTTGATTCATGCAGCCGTAGCCGAACACGTGCAAAATGATGCGGGTTGATAAGCGAGAACTGCACGCGTAGCTTCATTGTTGTACCGTGAAGTTATAGTAACCAGTTTTTACATATAAAAACTTCAGTTTGTGTCATATCTGATTATTATGAACTTTTGATCCGTAATGGTCTTCCAAAGACATCTTTTTTTTTTATAAAATTGTTTTCTTTGTTTTTGAAAAAATCAAGATTTAAAAAAAACAACAACAACTGTAACAATAGACTGTGTGAGCTTATGTTGGAGTTAATACCTTGATTAAACAACTGTTTGATTCTGAAATGCCTACTAAGTTTTAGTTATTTAACTTCCAATATCATTTTTTGTTCAATGTAGTAGAAGTATGATATACAACCGATATATAAGTATTCT